CCCCTCCCGGGCCCGGGGCTGCCCCGGCCAGCTGGGAGGGTTTCCATTAGATTCTTTTGCAAAAGCGTCCTTGCTTTCCTCCTGATTTTACCGCCGCGTGGCGGCCTCAGCGGCAGCCGTTCTTTTGAGGCAGAATCTCAGGCAAATCATACTTTTCCAACCCCCGCTCCCCCCGCCCCAATTTCGTGTACCGCGTTATTACGGTTTGAAATGACTATCAAATTAACCCTTGAAGGAAAACCAGAAAACCTTTTTCTTTGTGGTGTAAAGTAACTGATAAACTTGGACCAATTTATGGTGATATAATATCAACCTCCTAGGATTGTTAGGTCTTAAATGAAGTAAATATGTAAATATAAGTATTCACCACATGTAACTTCTGTATTAATGTGAACTTCATGGATCCATTTTTGAGGTCGTTTCCTAGCACCAAGGGAATGTCCTGTTCTTTTCTTACCGTTTGTTTGAAGTAGCCCACATTTCTGCCTTCCTGTCTGTTACTGCAGGTAAACGTTCCCTGCGCCCATGTAAAGTGCACTGATCCGTTTGGTCATTAAAACTCGTTTCTTTGCCCGGCTGAGCTGCTCAGCGGTTGAGCATCAGCCTAGGATCCGGGAGGTCGCAGCCAATCAGTGCCGACTCTCTCATCAGGGATGTTTCTTTCCCTCTCTCCCTCCCCCTTCCTCTCTCTCAAATCAATAAAGATATATTAAAACACAAAACCAAAAATACCTCATTTCTTGTTTACTCAAGGATATTAGCCCAGCAGTTTTCCTGTCTACCACTCATATATTTTGCTTTCTATTGAATGATTTCCATCAGCATATATATTAGTTTCCTAAGGTGGCGCGATAAAGTACCACAGACGGAGTGGCTTAAGACAGTAGAAATGTATTCTCTCACAGGGCAGAGTACGGGATTCTGAAATCAAGGGATTGGCAGGGCTGCCTTCCCCGCGTCTGCCTAGTTTCTGGTGGATGCTGGCAGTCCTTCACGTCCTTGGCTTGCAGCCCTGTCACTCCAGTCTCTGCCTCTGTCATTACTTGGCCTTCCTCTCTGTTTGTCTATATGGATGTGTCTTCACATGTCTTTCTTATAATGACACCAGTCATTGCATTTTGGGCCTGCCCTAATCCAGTATGACCTCATGCTAATGTGATTACATCTGCAAAGACTGTATATATATATTTTAATCCTCACCCGAGGATATTTTTTCCATTGCTTTTCAGAGAGAGTGGAAGGGAGAGAGAGAGAGAGAGAAACACCGTGTGAGAGAGACATATCGATTGGCTGCCTCCCACACACGCCCCAACCAGGGCTGGGGATCGAGCCTGCAACCAAGGTAGGTGCCCTAGGCTGGAATCGAACCCGGTATCCTTCGGTTGGTGGGCTGATGCTCTAACCACTGAGCCAAATTGGCTAGGGCAAGACTGTATTTTTAAATATGGTCATAGTCACAGGTGCCAAGGGTCAGGACTTGAACATACCTTTTTTGGGGACACAATTCAACCCACAACAATGGGACTTGTCTAGGTGTGGAGAGCTCCAGACAACAGAGAACCAATGCTCTTCTGTCTTATTTTCGATAGTTTTTTTCCAGGTAACTCCCATGGTCAGGTATATTCTTTCAAATTCTTTGGGAGGAGACATTGTCCTGAGTCTTAATCAATCAGCTTTGGAGAGAGAGCTGATTGATTTATACTTCCTTATCCCAGCATGAGTTTGGTGTTGTCTTGATATTAATCTGCTCATACCCTGGGCCTAGGATATTACTTCTATGGAAATAATGACATATATAAAGGGTATATATTAGCTCAAAAATGGAGGAAAGCTAAGAATAACATTTTAAAGTCTTCTAAATACATTCTCTCACTGCTACCACTGTTGTCTTCTCTCTCGTCTGCCCCCATCCTAAGTGCCCATACATAAATCAACCTTCAGTCACCTCTCAGAGTTTCTTACATTTTTTAAAAAAAATGTTGTTATTATTTGTTGTTAGGAATGTTTCCCTTTTCATTGTGTAATTTCTCCAGAATTGATTTTGGGATTTATCATCTTCATGGCAATAAATAATCCTTCCATCATTTTATATCTGACATCTTCACCTTTTGTTCACAGGGAGGAATAAAATTTTTTTTCACCTCTAATTTGGAAGTTAAGTAAATAACAAAATGAAGCCAGTAAAGCATCTGTTGTCCTCTAGTAATAAACTGGCAAGTGTTTCAGAATTAAGTTACAAAAAAGGATTACTTAATTCACCATTATCACCTAAACCAAAGGAGAAACAAAGTTCAAAATTAGTACGTGATAAACTTGAACCAATGGTCTTAAGATCTCCACCAACAGGAGAATCCGTTGTGAGGTATGCTTTGCCCATTCCATCAAGTAAGACGAAGGAGTTAATAGCAGAAGATGAACTGCTCAGGAAAATTACCAAACATCTGAAGACGGTAAGTCACTTGTTGGTCTTTGTGTTGAGGGTCCCCATGACCATCCACAGGTTTAGTGATTTCCTAGATCAACTTGCTGGACTCAGCATATAGTCATATTGATGACTAAGATTTATTACAGTGAAAGGATACAAAGCGAAATCACCAAAGGGTAAAGGCACGTGGGTGAAGTCTAGAGGAAACCAGGTACAAGCTCCCAAGATTCCTCTCCTTTTGAAGTCACAGAGGACATGCTTAATTCCTCCAACAACAAATTGTGACAATACATATGAAATGTCTATAAGAGAAGTTCATTGAAGACTCAGTGCTCAGGGTTTTATTGGGGCTTGATTACCTAGATACTCTCTGCCTGTCATGTATCAAAATTCCAGGCTCCCTGCAGAAAAGCAGGTGTTAGCATAAATTATTTTTTGTATAAACAGCATAGGGACAGTGAGCCACTAATCAGTTAGTGAATGGTGGGAACCCTCCTGAAATCCAAGTTCTGATATGCACACAGACCTTTCTAAGGATAGGCTGTTTGAAGTCTCAAAGCTGCTATCTCAACTCTTCTCTGCACTTTAGAAACTTTAGCTCTTAGTGTTGGAAAATAAATCTTCGTTTCTCTGGGTGTCTTTTTGCACAATGATGCAGACTGAATTGTAAATGTACCAAATACCAAGTGAGAACAATGAGGGATAGCACAAACATAAAAAGAATATAGTTTGTCAGACTTCCAAAATACAAGTTTGTTTAAAGTTTGAGGGGCCAGTTCAGAGAATTTCCTTTAAAAATGTACTGCTTTCTGGTTTGCATCTTTCTATTTTCCCTACTCTCCTCAAAGAAGAAAGTTGAGTCAGGTAAATTTTGAGGAATACTTTGGTGGTAAGTAGGGTTGATGCTTCAGTTATGCATAGACAGACCTTCTCCCCTTTAAATACCCGTCAACACAAAAATGGAAGAGTCATAGGGCCTCCTTGCTAGGAAGTAGGGCCAAAGACTGTTGCTCATCATTTCTTCATGATGAAATGAGATGGGGTATAAGATGGAAAATTTATGTTTAGAGCACTCGCAAAAATAAATCTTACTGCCAAAAAGATCCTGACATGGTTGATTTAATATCTTTTTACATTTAATATAATAATTTTAAACTACAGAAGTACTTAATTTGCTTTTTCTCATAGGTTGTTTCTACTCTGGAAGAAACCTATGGAATTTGTAATGGAAATGTGGAAAAACCAGTTGTGAAGTCCGAACATGAAGAATTATCTTTATCTGTAAGTATATGTAACCCTAACGTAGAGACATTAACACTAAAAAGGGCTAAGATTTTCTTTTGTAGTCCACGTATGTTTACAGAATGAATTCTTATCCATTAAAATGATCCTCTTAGGAAGCTTGAAAATAGTGTACTGATTTTTCCATCCTCTGCCAACCACACTTATCTTAAAGTTTAATTAAGGCATACACACACACACACACACATATTTACACATACATATACAGGGTGTGGCAAAAGTAGGCTTACAGTTGCTCATATGGAAAATAATACAATAATTAATAAATTATAATACAAGAATAAACTCTGTGTTTCAAGTACTCACAACTGTAAACCTGCTTTTGCCTTACCCTGTATTTTGCAACCTTGCTCAATGTACTTTTTCATTCTAGGAGTTTTTCTATAGATTCCTTGAAATTTTCTACATAGACAATTATGTCACCTTCAAATAGAGGCAATTTTACTTTTTCCTATCCAATATGAATGCTTTGCATTTCTCTTGACTTATTGCTCTGGCTCCCAGTATTATATTTAATAATAGTGATGACAACAAATATCCTTGACTCATTCTGACTGCTACTTCCAGACAAAGGTGAAAGTTTAGTTCTCCGTTTGTCTCCACCAACACCACTCTGGTGGGGGAATTGGAGTGCCATCTACTACTTCCAGCTAGGTGGTGGAGATTCACTCTCTAGCTCTGCTGACACCACCATAGTGGGGAATGAGGAAGGCCAACTTTCACTTCCACATTATTTTGCAGTCCTATTCACACATATGAGGTAGTGGTGCAACATTTTCTTGGAGTTTGGCTCCAGTAGGATAGGTATTGTCAAAAAGGTTTTGTGTTACGGTAGAGATGCCTTTTCACAGTCCTTTGGCTTTTCTTAGGGCTATNTCTGCCCCATACAGCGGAGCGAGGCGGCCTCTCCTTAGGTCCCAGTGTTCTTTTTATTTATTGTTGGCAGTATTACAGATGTCCCCCATTTTCCCCTCCTTCGCCCTCCACCCAGCCCCCACCCCACCCCAGGCCTTCACCACATTATTGTCTGTGTCCATGGGCTATACATATATGCATATATATTCTTTGGTAAGTTTCTTGCAGTCCTTCCCACCACCCTACCCTCTGAGATCTGTCAGTCTCTTCCATGTATCCATGCCTCTGGTCCTATTTTGTTCATCAGTTTTATTTTGTTCGTTAGATTCCTCATTTAAGTGAGATCATATGGTATTTGTCTTTCTCTGACTGGCTTGTTTTGCTTAGCACAATAATCTCCAGGTCCATTTATGCTGTTGCAAAAGGTAAGAGATCCTTCTTTTTTTACAGCTGCATGGTATTCCATTATATAAACGTAGCACAGCTTTTTTATCCACTCATCTACCAATGGGCACTTGGTATGCTTCCAACTCTTAGCTATTGTAAATAACGCTGCAGTAAACATAGGGGTGCATATATCCTTTCAAATTAGTGTTTCAGGTTTCTTGGGATGTATTCTAAAAAGTCACATTGCTGGATCAAACAGCTGTTCCATTTTTAATTTTTCGAGGGAACTCCACACTGTTTTCCACAGTGGATGCACCAGTCTGCATTCCTACCAGGAGTGTACCAGGGCTCCTTGTCCTCCATATCCTCACCAGCATTTGATGTTTGTTGATTTATTAATGGTAGCCATTCTGGCAGGTGTGCCATTAAAACTACCTCATTGTAGTTTTAATTTGCATCTCTTTGATAATTAGTAATGTTGAGCATTTTTTCATATCTATTTGCCATCTGTATGTCCTATTTGGAGAAGAATCTATTCAGGTCCTTTGTCTAATTGGATTGTTTGTCTTCCTGTTCTTGAGTTGTATAAGTTCTTTATATATTTTGGAAATTAACCCTTTATTGGATGTATCATTGGCGAATATGTTCTCCCATACAGTGGATTCTGTTTTTCTTATGTTGTGGTTTCTTTTGCTGCCCAGAATTTTTATATTTTGAAGTAGTCTCATTGATTTATTTTTTCCTTTGTTTCCCTTGCCCTAGGAGATATATCGGTGAAAATATTGTGATGTCTGAGATTTTATTGCCTATGTTTTCTTCTAGAATTTTATGTTTTTGCTACTAATATTTAAGTCCTTTATCCATTTTGAGTTTATTCTTGTGTATGGTATATGCTGGTGGTCTAGTTTCATTTTTTTTGCATGTACCTGTCCAATTTTCTCAACATCATTTATTGAAGAGACTGTATTTACTTCATTGTATGCTCTTGCCTCCTCTGTCAATTATTAATTGACCATAATGGCGTGGGTTGATTTCTGTGGTCTGTATTCTGTTCCATTGATCTATATGCCTGTTCTTGCGCCAATACCAAGACTTTTAATTTTATTTTATATCAATGGCTTTGTAGTATAGTTTGATATTCAGTACTGTGATCCCTCCCACTTTGTTCTTCTTTCTCAAGATTGCTGAGGCTATTCAAGGTCTCTTTTGGTTCTATATAAATTGTCCAAAGCTGGCCACTTGTGCTGGTCCTAGGCCTACCAGGAGACCCTCTTGTGCAAGCCAATGTCAGTCATTGTCCTTGCCTGGCCCTTGACAACCTGACTGAAGCACAGCAGGACAATGCCCCAAGTAGTCCAGTTGGTGAGGCCTGTGAAGCTCAGAAGCTCTGTTTCAGGTCTCGCACCTTCTATTTCCCTGCTCTGAGCTGCAATCCCTTCCTTCACCAACCCCGTGCTCTGGGGTGGTATCCAGAACTTGGCCATGGTGGTGCTTCTAACCTGCAGGAAAGGAGCAGGCACTTCTCCTCCTTCCCAGGGCAGCACTGTCTGAACTCACTGAGGGTCTCAGTTCTGGTCCCCCTTACTGCAGCTGAATGGCCCAGCACAGGCCTGATGCCTCCTGGACAGAAGCTCTCCTAGGAGACACAGTTGCAGTACCTGAGCTCTGTGTGGCTCCCTGGCACCACCTTGCCACCACACCAAGTAGAAGGGGATAAGGAAAAGGCCCCACGTGGCACTCCTGTGTTTCTGCCCAGCCAGTCCCTCTGTCCATGCTCTGACAGGGCTAAATGTCTGAGTCCCCGTTGTCACCAGACTGAGCAGTACCGGCACAGATTTTCAGTCGAGCACCGCCCCCCTTTGCCTCGGATCACAGCAGGATGGAGGTGGGGGGAGAGGCACCACACATGCTCTAGAGGTGAGCAAGACCTATCTTTTTTCCCAAGCTTCACAGTCCAGCCCCCATTCAGCTCTCTGCCCAAAGTTTTTCCAGAGAACAGAAGGGCCCTCAAAGTCACTGCTGGGTGTACCAATCGGACCCCTCCACTGGCTTATACCTCTGCTGTGTGACCTCTCCGGCAGACACAGATTGGAGCGAAATTCCCAGGCTGGTGTTCTAACAAAGAAATCAGTCTTTTCCTGGGATGGTGCGTTGTGAGTCTCCCAGGTGGACTGGGTCCCCAGTGATTCCCACCACCCAATGCTATGCAGGCTCCCATTCCCTTCTCTGTTGCTCTGGACTGGGGATCCCTGTGTGGGGCTGGGACCCCACGCTCTCAGGGATGGGGGCCCTGCTGCCACAATATTCCTCTGGCTTCCCAGCGGTGCATCTGTGCAAGTTGGCTCACCCTCTCTGCCTCTCCTCTTGTCTTTCCTCCATGTTCCCTGCTCTCAATATTTCAGATCAGCTACACTTCAACTAGTTTTTCAAGCCCTTGCTGCAGTTTAGCCACAGGTCTGGTCCAGTGCTCGGAGTAAGCAGAAGGAGCTTTCAGCTACTCTGCAGCCATCTTGGAATCATCTCTTAGGACATTTTTATTGTTCTTTTTATTCTCCTTAAGACTCTTTTTGATTTTTATTTTAAATATATATATATATATATTTAATATATCTTTATTGATTTCAGAGAGAGGAAAGGAGAGGGAGAGAGAGATAGAAACATCAATGATGAGAGAGTCATTGATTGAGCCCACAACCCGGGCATGTGCCCCGAAAGGGAATCGAACCCCCATCGCCTGGATCCTAGGTCGATGCTCAACTGCTGAGCCATGCCCTGCAGGGCAAAAAAAATTTTTTTTATTGATTTCAGAGGGAGGAAAGGAGAGGGAGAGAGAGAAACATTAATGATGAGAGAGTCGTTGATCCGATGCTTCCTGCATGCCCCCTACTGGGGATCGAGCCTACAACCCGGGCATTTGCCCTGACTGGGAATCGAACTGTGACCTTCTGGTTCATAGGTCGATGCTCAACCACTGAGCCACGCTGGTCAGGCTGTTTTGTTTTTTTATCTAGCCTGATAATTTGTCTTTTAATCAGTGTGTACAGTTCAATTACATTTAATTGATACAATTAAAGATCATGTAATTAATGTTTTATAGCAAAATGTTAATGACATAATCAGAAGTAAGTTTACTATCCTGCTCTCTGCATTTTTTTGGTCCCATATGTTTTTTTGTTCCTTTACTCTTTCTTTTGTTTTATTTTGAGTTATTTTCATATATATATA